AAATTTGTACTACAGAATTGTAGATCTTTACCAAAAAAATAAAATGATCTGCATTACACAAGTTTGAAAAATCCCTGTAATGGCGCTCATATTTTCCAATAACAAAATCGGTAAGTTATCGAGTAAATTACTGAAGTTGGCTGATGTCAAAAACTTATCAATTCGGTCATTTTTTTTCAAGTGTCTTAGAATTTATAGAAACAGCTATAATACAAATCCAACAATTTCATATATAGCCTCGATGGTCTCTTTATATAACGGTCTCTGCGATATTCGCATAACATGTTTGTAGTGTTTATTCCATACAATCTAGCCTATCGTATGATGACGGGCTCTAATACTAAGATTAATGAAAATTGCTTAGACCATGCGTATGCATGGGGTATTCATGTGCACGATGCCCATCTCTACGTGAAATTCATGAGACTCACGAACTCAAAAAAATGATCTGTAAAATTTGTGATTCAACTGAATCGAAAAGAGCGATAAAATATGATATGCCCTTGTAATCCATAAGAATGAAATAAAATCAAGCATTTTCAAAGTCTCGTGGAAATAAGCGTTAATTCACTTTTTTTCAAGATATAACGAAAATTAAGATTTATACGCCTTTAATAGTAATCATTCTCCATGAAATTAAAACTTTTAATCTTATCCATAGTCGCCGTTCATATCATAAATGCATATCCTAATCAGAAGCAATTGCATACAATTAACTTAGAAAAAAGAAGGTTTATTGTGGCCAATAACGAAAATCCAATTGATATTGCAAAGAGTATAAGGCAAGGAGTCATAAAGAAATACGCTAGCTATGGAACAACTTCTAACAATGAAACATCTTCCAATGTAACAACTTCTAACTATGAAACATCTTCCGATGTAGCAACTGCATCCAACGAAATAACCCCTGACAAAAAGAAAGACCAATGCACCTTAATTGTAAACGATATCCCGCAAGATATTGGCTATTATGTAAAGATCGCTATTGGAGAACAAGAATTCAAAGTTCTTTTAGATACCGGGTCTTCAAATCTCTGGGTTCCAAATAAGAATTGTACAACAATTTTTTGTCAAAGTACTAATAAATTCGATCCAAGTAAATCAAAAACTTTTATTCAAGAAGGTAATCCTTGGTCTATACAATATGGCTCTGGTTTTGCCTCTGGTATTACCGGAATAGATAATATTAAAATTGGATGCGTTACTGCTGACAAACAAATTTTTGGCCTTGCAGATGGTATAATCTCTATATACGAAGAATTTGATGGAATTTTAGGTCTAGCTTTTGACAGTTTGAACACTATAGATAATGGCGCTCCAACTTTAGTCTCTACTTTGATTAAACAAAAGAAAATTAGTCCAATTTTTAGTTTTCATTTTCAACATGCTTCAGATCACGATGATAAAGGAGTTTTTGTTTTGGGTGGTATTGATAAAAATAAATTTAATGGAACAATTACATTTAGCTCTTTAATTAGTCCAAAGGGATTACCAAAAGGATTTTGGGCAATAAAGCAAGATGATGCACTCGTTAATGGCAAGCCAGTGATTTCTTCCGCGAGGACTGCAATCATTGACACTGGCACTACAGCTCTTGTGATACCTTCGAGTGACGCTGCGGCAATTCATGAAAAAATTCCAGGATCCAAAATTAATGACGACAAAGATTTATACTTTATCCCATGCAATACCACTGCTGTGGTTTCCCTTAGATTTGGAGGTGTTGATTTTTCAATCCCCTCCAAAGATTTATTTTTATCACAAAATGGCGCTCAATGCGTATCAGCCATTATTCCCGCAGATCTTTTTCCCGTTTCTAATGTTTGGCTCGTTGGTCAAACTTTCATTAAGAATGTATATTCAGTATTTGATGTGGGAAACAAAAAAGTTGGATTTGCAAATAGTAAATAATTTCCATATTCCGTTATAATTGTTTATTAATATGTCATGGTATCTTAATATTATTTTAGATACGTACGTACGCATTAATATTTTTCTTATTTTGAAAATACTTGTATTCCTTTGAACCTAATGCTAATGCAATATATGTTAAATATAAATTTACATATTGATTTATATCAGCGGCATAGCTTTAGTTTATTATTTTATTATTATAAAATATTTGTGTGAGCAACTTGACCGCCCATGCTTGCATACTTTGTTGCTATTTCATTTTTTTCTTTTATGTCAAACATATATCACTGGTAAAAAAATTATATTTAACTAAATATTAACCAGTAATATATAGTACAAATATTAGCTTATTTGCTATATATTTACTAAGTAATATATGTATTTAAACATATTGACTAAAAATATAACCTGCATATCTTACCTAGTAAATATATAGAAATAAGTTAATATTTGTACTATATATTACTGGTTATTATTTAGTTAAAATATGATGTTTTTACCAGTGTATATTTTTTTGTTCCTTATTTGATTTTTTTTTCTTTACTTACAAGTACACGTGATGATTGTGTTTGTACCCGAAGGCATTTGTTAAATAAAAATGGCGAATTATATGTTAAAGATAATGAACTCAAGAGAAATAATGTTATAAAACTAGAAACTGCACATATGGGCGGTTTCACCCATTTCTACTTAACTAATTGAATATAGACATTATCAATTATTGATTTTTTCTTAATAAAATGGAGCCCAATACATAAGACCAATTTTGAATAGAATTATAAACAAAGTTGGTTAGTTTTAGTTTTTCAACGATTTTATATATATATATATATATGGCTCCCGGCCTTGCTTGCCTTGCTTTTTCGTCCTTTTTTCAAGCCTGGTTATATCATAAAGTTATTAATAAATTTTTTTCTATAACCTCCGGACTCGTTTTAAACTTTTCACTATTTATTCAGAAAACCATTTATTGACCGTTGTGTCATAGCTATATGGATTTAATCTTAATTTAGCAAAATAGTCTACATGTACATACGTACACACTTAGGGTGGTAACTCGACTAAGTGATTCAAACCCTATATAAAACTTTTATCCGAATATTTCCATTATTTCTCCGTGGCCTCCGTAAAAATTCCATGAAAATGATACATTTACGGATATCCGTGTTAGGGAGATGAAAATTTCCATGATTTAAGGTTATAAATTCCATGAAAATGAAACATTCATGGAAAAAACATAGAATAATAAACACGGATCAACATATTTTATAGGGAAACCACAGTGCGTTAGCAATATTAGCATTTTTAATATGTTCAATAAACTTAAAATAATCGATCAAATATCATAAGGAAAACACAAAATTCTAAAAGATTCATCTCGATATCTTAATATCGTACTTCTTTTTATATTCTTCTTTAATCCTCAGTAAAGTTAAATCTAAAACGTTATGCTCGACTTTTTGCGTTGTAGATTCCGTTTATATAAAATTTATATGATCGAAGTCCGAATTTTTCTTTTCACGTTGACATAACATAGTCAGCAAGTGCAAGTTGTAATGATTATTTATTAATTGTCACTGATTTACTTATGATCTATTCATTTCTTATTTAATTTCTTATTTTTACCGTATAGCGCTATATATAGTACCTGAACAAGTAAAATGCCTTTTCAAGGAAGCCTTAAAAATTAAAAGAATTTGGCTTCATGAAAATTCAGTCTATTAGTCTAGATCAATAAAAAATCCAATCACCCGACCGAAATTTCGAATGCAAAACGCAAAATCAACTTTGTATGACCTAATACTCAAATAATAAAAATAATATCATTATAGATTAAGGCCATGCGAAATTAATGAAAATTATTTATATGTTTTAATAACTGTGTGGTTTCTTAAAAAAGTTTTTATAAAAAAAAAAAAGTCGGCCGGTCGGGTTTGTTTAAAAGTTTCATCTATGAAAACCAAGATATTAAATTTGTGTGGCCTAATTTAATACAAATTAAATGAGAAATGATTAGTTCATCACTTAGATTATGCTGTAAATTATTGCGTATAATATTTTGCTAAACGATTATTACCGTATAGCGCTG